GCACAGCCCCGCTCTGCCCGCAGAGCCCCTCCGGTTCCCAGCCCCATGCTAGGGATGTCCCCCTGCTGCGGGAAGGGCTCCAGCTCCATCCACCCCTTCGCTGCTGCGGTAACGTCAACTGGTGCCTGGTGGGATGCAGGCGATGCCCAGCTCCGGGGTGGCCTCCCTCAGCTGCCCACTTCAGCCCCTCTGCCACCTCACCCACTGCAGGCTCACCGGCAGCACCGGGGCATCCCGGGCGCAGGGTTCACAGGCTTGATCCAGGGCTGGGATCACCACCCAGCACCAGCCCCAGGGGCAAAGTGGGAGCCAGGCTCCTCTCCCCATGCGTGGCCCAGCCTGGAGGCACAAACCTAGCGCTATTTGTCGAGTATGAGGAAGAGCAGCACCATCAGGACAATGGGGAGGAAGATGAGGAGCAGGCTGAGCATCTCGGCCGCCAGCAGCAGTGCCAGCACCAGGAGGTAGCAGCAGCGGCAGCGGCGCTCCAGCCGCCCCAGCCCATGGATGAGGCAGGGTGGGTAGCGGACGCAGGGCAGGCACCCAAACATGCGGCTGGTGTGGAAGCGCACCTGGAAGCGATGCTCCAGGGCGCCAGTGAGGCCCGGGCGCCTAGGCGGCAGGGCAGGGGGCCGGGAGCTGGCCAGGGCACCAGGGGAGCTGGGCTGGGCATGCAGCAGGAGCAGCTCCTCTTGCAGTTTGCAGATCTCCCACTCCAGCATGGGCGTCTTCTGGCGGCATATGGGGCAGCGCACGCGGCCGAACTCGGCGCCGGCAGCTGTGTCCATGATGGCACGCAGGCAGGCACGGCACAGCCCGTGGTTGCAGTTGAGCAGGGCCGGTTTGTGCTGCTGGTCATCATAAGGCTCCGTGCAGATGGGGCACTCGTCCTCGCTGCCCACTGGCACGTGGCACGGCTCTGCTGCCGCCTCGCTGCTTGATGTCTCCTCTTCCTCGCCGGAGAGGCTCAGGATGGAGCTGGAGGCACTTTCCAGGCTGGGTGACCCCCCCTGCAGAGCTGGGCTCTCCCCATGGGGCAGGATGGGGCTGGTGGCGGCAGCAGCGGGAGGGTCCTGCCTCGCAGGCAGGGAGGCACCATGGGCAGGCGGCTCGTCATGCCTGGGCAGGAGCAGCTCGGTTGCGTCCTCCGCTGCTGGTGGGTTCCAGCATCCCCAGGCAACAGCAGGCACCTCTCCGCAGACCCGGGGCGGCTCCCTGGGGCCCCCCGACCCCACAGTCTCGCTCTCCCCCTGCTGCCCAGCACAGCCCTCCCCAGCGGCTGCCGGCGCCGTCTGGGTGCCAGGCTCTGCCTCCTCGCCTGCTGCTGGCTCCATGGGGGCAGCTGCTCCCTGGCCGCCCCCCTCGCCCCCCACCCCCTGAGTCCCCTTGGGGCTGGGTGTGGGACGTGGGTGCTGCTCCAGGGCAGGAGGCGGCCTTCAGCACGGCTGCGGGAAGGGTTTAAAGGCAGTGGTGTCCATACAGAGTCCTGTCATCCCTCTGGCACGGTTTGGGGCCCCCTCCCAGTCCGACAGGTCATGAGCCCCCAAAGCGGGGTGCATCCCCATCACCCTCACCGATAGGCCACCCCAAAAGGGGCATTGCTGTGAGCATCCAGCAGCTGCTTCCTCCTCTTCCTCCTCCTCCTCCTCAGCGCCGACGCAGTACTGACCCGCCACGATCCAGAACAGAGGGCAACGAGCTGGGTGCTGCCAGGCGCTGCCTGCTGTGCCAGTGAGGGGTGCAGGCGTGGCAGGCACCT